CATCATAATGCTGGCGATTAGGTGCCTGACTCTGAGGGTGTGGGTTCGAATCCCGGATGGGACTAAACCCCAAAAAAGTACTAGAATCTGTACTTTACAAAGAGAGTGTAATCCCAAATATAATATATGTTTACATCATAATGATAAAGTGATGACCACAATTGCATGTTTCAGAAAGATATTTATCCACTGTAGAGGTTTTATAGACCGGAGAGGAATTATCACTGTAAGAAACTCTTCGCCCTCGCTCTCATACTTACTACTACCATCTCACCAAGATGATAGATGAGTGATTTATCTAGCGTCGAAAACAATAATGAACGGATTGTTGTCCAAATGAATTGAGATGATACACTCTGATGACAAATATTGGCTATTAATTCTTCTTATCATTTCTTGATGCCTTTTGAGATACTGTATGTTGTGATATACAAAGAGTTAAGGATCTACTCATAAATATGTGTAATTTAAGCCCTGGGGTTAAAATGACAAAGCGTTGTTATCAATGACAGCATTTAAGTCATAAAACTAACATAGGGGGTAGACACTGTCCATATGTATAACTAATAGAGTCCCAGACACCCACTTCTCACAATGTCTTCAGATACCTTGAGATCATGCATATCATTATTACAGGACACCGCCAAGACCAAAGTGTTTTATATTGCCCGTATCTTTCAACCTGTTGTTTACGAAGGAATGCAAGATAATTGTGTCCGATCTGTATCAAAGCAGCATTAATAACTCTGCCGTAGCCTTTCAATTGGAGCAAATCCATCAATAACATTCCTATTATTTCCTATAACAGACTACGGTGCCCGGTCGCTTGTAAATCAGTGGACCAATCTATTCAGATTCATATATGGCTCAGCGAGATTAGCAGATATCTGATTTCAGAGATACCAAGCTGCTGTTTGTGAATGAACAATATCAGAAAATACACCACGCGAGGCTTACTCTTGACATGTATTTTAACAACTTGTCTAAATTTAGATAAAAAGAAAGAAAAGCATGTTGTGTTCTGTTTATTTGTTTCTGACAACGTACAGTGTACAGCACGTAGCGGGAAGCAGGTAAAAATGTAGTGTGTACAGTCATATGTGTCTATTCTGTGTACACGGACCACTGTCAGTATTTCCACGAATACCGTCGCATGCAATATATGCGTACTGTTAAACGAACTCGGGATGTGAGAGTGATCATATGTTTTCGAGCATTTTTAATGAATCAATCTGTAAATATTTGATAACCTACTGTCGTGTACGGTTTTGATTTAGCCTCAAATCAAAATAGAGTTTTCTTTGAGAGACTACCTGAACTCAACCACCCTTGAATACACGTGAGTCAAGTTGGAAGTCTTAGGAGTGAGTGAGTGAGTTTAGTTTTACGTCGCACTCAGCAATATTCCAGTTATATGGCGGCGGTATGTAAATAATCGAGTCTGGACCAGACAGTCCAGTGATCAACAGCATGAGCATGGATCTGCGCAATTGGGAACCGATGACGTGTGTCAACCCAGTCAGCGAGCCTGACCACCCGACCCCGTTAGTCGCCTCTTACGACAAGCATGGGTTACTGAAGACACATTCTAACCCGGACCTTCACGGGTATGAAGTCTTAAGAGGGCCACGGGGTAGCCTAATGGTTAAAGCGTTCACTCGTCACGTCGAAGACCAGGATTCGAGTTCCCACATGGATACAATGTGTGAAACCCATTTCTAGTGTCCCTTGCCGTGATATCTCTTGAAATAAAGAGAAAGTACAATCCTGACAAATTCAAATGGGAACAACTGAGTCCTGATGAATGTTTTGTTTTCATAATGCATATTACAGACAAATAACTGATTGAGTATGACAACATATTTCCAAATTACGATGTCAATTCGTGTTTTTATGGTATGTACCTCGGCGTATCATTAAGATCTTCCTCGTCCATATCATCATTACCCAGGAAATTATACAAGATACTGCAGCATAAAATTAAACTCACTCACATGAAGTCTCAAAGTAGGTGTTTCACTAATTAACACACCTTGCAATTATAATTAAAATCTTTCTTTGTTTTACTGCTAATGTATATCTTACGGTGCATCACAGTCTAGATGTGAATGCGAAGCCTTTAGGTATATGCACCTTGATATTAGGGGTGGGTATTGCAGAGAATTTTCATATTGCGATATATTGCGATGTGGAAGCATATATTGCTATATGTATTGCAATATATTGCAAGAATTAATTTTTTAACAAAAACTATTTATAATCGAGTTAATGCTTGATTATAAAGCAAAAACACAACAAAATCACTATGATTGATTAACCTTTAATAAAAACTTTTAATCATGACAAAATAAATATGTAAGTAACATTTGGCACTAATGAAACAGGGAAAAGAACAATTAAAAAAACGGAAATATACGAAGATTTCCGAGTGTTACGAAATTTTCCGAATGCATGTCAAAATACCGGTTTTCGATCAGCGTATGGCAATACGTATCGTTTTCATGTCTGAACCGGTAAATACCGGTAAACCGGTTATATTGCGCAGCCCTACTTGATATACACCGCAAGCGTATATTAAACCTACATCGACTTGCCACTCTTGTTCATGTTAAAGACTTACCTACTTTCAGTTGACTCGTACACACAAATACTTTTACATATTTGTATACATCCAATTTGCACTCCTTTGAATGGATGCATGAGGCGTGGTTATTGCATTGATCTTTGTGCGGTTCTGTAAGCCGATGGCCTTTATTACTATCCACTCTTTCTCCTGTGTCAGTGAACAGATGCTATACTATGTGCATGTTAAAGAAAGCAACTTTTGACCGTCACCTTAAGGATATAAATATACAAGACATGTTTGTGTAGTTTAGGGTCTATCGTGAAGCTGAGTATCTAGTTCCTTCTTTGAGATCGACGGTATTTCAGTCAGGATATAAATGCATCTAAAAATACGACATGAATACCAGCCAACACGTTTTACATATGCATCAATAACAAGGCTTTGAAGTGAGACGCAATAGTCTCATAGGAGGCAGAGTTACAATGGTCAAGGAAGTAAAATATGTAATGTGTTATTGAGATTAGGGGAAATAAAATATGTGGGTAGAATATCAGCTGGTCTACATGCATATCAACCTCTTAAAGTTAGTCACGTTGTATCCTGTTCGGTTTTGTTTAATCTACTTATGTTATCATGGATGAAACTTTTGAAATGTATCCTACCTTTCCTGACTGTAGACGAGTGAGTGGACCGGTTGTTGAGTGAGTGAGTGAGTGAGTGCGTGAGTGATTTACTAAACCAGTGTGAATGAGTGGATCGGTTGTTGATTGGATGACTATATAGGTTTGACATCCCAGTGGACCCGAGATTGAGTGAGTGAGTGAGTTAGTGGATTGGTTGTTAAGTGAGGGAGTGAGTGACTGGACCGGTGTGACGTCCCATTGGACCAGAGAGTGCGTGAGTGAATGAGTAAGTTAGTGGATTGGTTGTTAAGTGGGGGACCGGTGTGACATCCCAGTGGACCAGAGAGTGCGTGAGTGAATGAGTAAGTTAGTGGATTGGTTGTTAAGTGAGGGACCGGTGTGACATCCCAGTGGACCAGTTGTTGATTGAGTGAGTGACTAGATTGGTGTGACATCCCAGTGGACCGGAATTCGTTTGATTGAGTGTACGGTTAGTGAGTGAGGGCATGGTGAGGTGAGGTGAGGTGAAATTGGGTTTAACGTCGTGCTTGAGAATAGTTCGCTCATATGACGACGTGCATGCGTGTGTATGTGTATGTGCGGCTGCTTGTACTAGTCCAGACTGAAGCTGGTTGTATAGTGCTAACCCACTGAGATACCATGCCGCAGTGAAGCATGAATACCCCACTCAGACACATTATACTGACTCCGAGCCGACCAGTCCTTGTTGTACCCATTAATGCCGAGCGCCAGGCAGGGACCAACAAGTACCATATTTTAACGTCTTTTGGTATGACGCGGTCGGGGATCGAACCCGCGACCTTCCGCTCTCCGGGCGGACGCTCTAACCACTACACCACGTAGGCGGTCTGAGTGAGGGAATGGACCATAGTTCAGTGAATGAGTGCCGGGGTTGAGTGAGTGGACCGATGGTTGAGTGAGTGAGTTATAACGAGAGATGACACGTGCATAAACGTGCATATATATATAAACAGCCTAATGAGCAATACTATGCATATAGAACAATAATGCCATGGAACATACGTCACCTGTTTACCACGAAACTTAGTGCAGAAGTCGTGTCAAGGCATAAACATAGTATTGTAACGTTATGACATATTCACAACCCTCCGTCACATCAGTATGCATGTTCACAACACACGGGGCATTGTGACATACTCACAGCCTGCATGCCTTTGTGTCATGTGTTCAACCGCATGTATTCATAACTACAGTCAATACATTCACAACATCATTACAACCAGGTTATCGTTCTTGTGCATATTCCTAAACCCATTTAAATTTGACACATCAGGCAAGTTATTGTGATACGTTCTCAGCTCGTATGACTTCGTAAACATGTTTATGACGGTCTCTCTCCCAGGCAAAGGAGCATAAATTTAAAACAAATCAACACAAGTGTCAATTTAGCAAGTGTAGATCGACGCAGCTCTACGCTCTATCCCTTTAGATATTTTTCTAATTTATGGAGACATATTTCTAAGAAAACTTTATTTCGGGTATCAGATGTAATAGTGAGTGAGTGAGTGAGTATGGTTTTTCGCCGCTTTTAGCATTACTCCAGCAACATCATGGCGGGGGACACAAGAAATGGGCAGATGTTACAGACTGTTGACAGCACACGCGCCATTACAGTATGATCGTATCCCACGCTGTTGTACACTCACAACATTGATGTTATTAAGATACATTCGCTATGACTGACAACCTGTGTGTCACGGAGTGCAGTATAATTACTTCCCACATTCTATTGTGATGCGTCCAAAAACTATTACATTGAGGTCGACAAGGTAGTCTCTACAACGACATTTTCCTCATTGTCTCAAAACTAGCCAGTCATGGGAAAAAATCACAGTGAGTGCACAATACATGTGTATGAGCTGGTCTATGGCCAGTCGATCCTTCCTCGGGTACCCCTTTCGCTACACTGCCCAATTTCCCGTACAGTGCCTACTGACACATGAATCTCCCTCACTGGAGGTTATCTTCCCACATGAGTGCATCCACGACGTCTTTCCCGCGAATCTGTTGGGATGTAATTTCCCATCAATGGGTGATAGCTTCATTCACTGCAATATTCAACACATACGCATGCCTTAGCTGTCTCCACGGTGAACTAAATGACCCCTGTAACGTCCCTTCGTAGCTCTGACCATCGCGGACACTCGGAATATGCGTGCGTACACTCCGGACAACTGACACGTCCCGCGCAGACGATATGTGTGTTGCAGCAGACGACATCTGCTCTGTGAAGCGCGCGGCACATGAGGACTGACTGAGGTATGGACTACATGGGTACAGATTTCACTAAGGCTCAGCGCATGTGACAGTCGCCTTCGTCTCCTCGTGGTGTGTTTGTGGGTCAATTCATGTTGTTGATTTCGGGATCAGCGTGGCTTAGCGTCGGATTATACTAGTTTCTTCAACTCAAGTAAGTTTTAATTTCCTTATTTTCTATCATTACATGATGGCATGCATCATTAATCCCCAGTCTTTCCACTGCTGGCAATCGACCAGCGGTAAATATGACCCGTCATTTTGAGAAGGGTTTGAATTTAGGTTGTGTAAAGTGTGTAATGTTCAAATATTAATATGTCAACAAGGACATGAAAATATTATGATTCAAAGTCACAAATCATTCCCGTTGTAATGACTTCACTAATATTTGGGGTCACATTGACTTAAAAGGCCAACCATAAAACAAACATGTCCATAGAAAACCATCACATCACCCACCGCCCCTCGTATATCCTCTTGAAAAACAAATGCAAGGTCGGTTAGCTGTGAGCAACACTATTGTAATACAACACCAGGGTACAACGAGGATGATCATGAGAGCTAGCCACGTCGACGACATATCTTCTATCCGTCGCCGAAAACTCAACATATATTACCCTGTCGGGGTCGTCGAAAACGAAGACGTTGTCTATCCGTCTCTGACAACGATGCATAGCTGCTGTCTATCAGAGATGAGGCATTATTGTGATAACTTCAGCATCAGACAATGGCCATTGTGACATTGTGGAGGACATGGGTGGATGAAGACTGCTTTTATATATATAGTATTGAAGAACTAGCGACAGTGGTGGGGGAGGGTATGAGGGGAGGGTATGGGAGAGAGGGCGGGTGCTGAGGGGAGGGGCGATGTTTGCTGTTCTAATCGAGGCTAAATGGCAACTACATCCTTGTAGTTACTTGCAACATCCTTGTATCACCATACGCTGTGACAGTTTATTAGCAGTGTCGATGCGGTCGAAGAAATATGTTACTTTGAAACGCAGTAGGAGACTGTATATCTGGAACACGCTTTTCAGTTTCCCTAACTGACGTGTAAGGGGATGCTTTGTGTGAAAGATTTGTAGCTAACATTTATAGTTTTATCATGTAATTGTTTTGAGCATATAATCGTGATATTATGTTTCAAAACTGCATACTACATGCAGTTGCCATGTTTGTAAGATTGTATTAGATGCAGTTGATTTATAATAGTAGTAATAGTGAATATATAATGTGCCTTTTCCATGTACAAGGCACATGCTCAAAGCCCTGACACACCGATAATTATTACCACGTATAACCCAAGCTGCCTTTGAGGCGCTAAAAGGTTAATAGTCACATGACTTATCCCACCGGGTACCCATTTTCTGCTAGGTGAACAGAGGCAAGTTTGAGCAAACTCACTTGCCTAAGGTGTTTGATAAATAAGTGATTGTGAAAAATATAACAAGGATAATAGTTTTGGATTGTACCTTATCCATTTAGTAACTCACTCACTCACTCACGCACTCACTGTCGTGACCAGAGCCTGTGGTGTTTTTCATGAACTAAATTTAGCTTTGGTGGAAATTGTAAGTAAACAATTATTTAAAAATTCGTTTCACTATATTGAGTTGTTGTGTCGGGCGGTTTAGAGGGTTAAGGACATCAAAGGGAAATTCGTCCGCACAGTATAAAGAGATGTTTACTGTTATAATCACATCCGACAAGGAAGTTGTTTGTCTTGTCCAAAAAACATTACGATACAAGGAACACTTTATTTAACGAATTGCTGAATTTTACTGTGAAACCAATTACATTTCGATCAAGAAAGGAACAAAATATTATATTAAATCGTGTTATTTTTGGCCCGGAGCTATCAAATCTGGTCAGTGGTACACTGAACCGAGAAATTAAAGTGACTAAGTCACTCAGTGACGAAAACTATAAAGAATACCTCTCAAACGTCTACCTCAGCCTCTCAGACATTGATACAATACAGCACACGCCTCGACATTTAGAGAGACAGGCTGTTATTAATAATGCATAGCTGAATGAACTACTTACCAAATTCAATTCCATCGGTACAAAATAACGAAGCAATGATAGGTGTCCCTTTATACTACTCAAATCAGGATAAGAAACGCCCAATTTTTTTATAACTAGAGTTGATCTGTTAGGGACATTTTCTACTCGAAAGACGTAAAAAAACGAATTTATAACACGACTACTAATAACTTTGAAGAACTCGAATTTTGGTCGAATGCAGCAAAATGTGAAATGTGTATAAAGAACGCTTATATCGAACTATATTAGTGGTCCCTTAAAGTTCTCCATAACCGTAGTTAACCCTATATGTGAGTGAGTTTAGTTTTACGCCGCACTCAGCAATATTCCAGCTGTATGTCGACGGTCTGTAAATAATCCGAGTCTGGACCAGACAATCCAGTGATCAACAGATATTTTATATGCCAGAGGTTAGGAAATAGGGTGTTAAGAGGACATGCAGTCGATAGTTTTAGTCATCAGGGAAGGAAAATGTTATTTGAGTTCTTTCAAACTTACCAGAGCAGCAAATTGGTCTAAACATGTTCCTTCTTAGCCCCCCTAGTGTACATCTGTGGTGGATTGTATTAATTTATCAAATGAGCTCTTGCTTCATTTAGTTAACATTGTACATAATTGTATTCGTTGTAAATGTTGTACTGCACACGCGTGGGCAGTGTCTGTGTCTGTTGAAAATGCTTTAATGAAAGACCAAGCGTACAACAGCTGCATAAAGGACGATATCGGTGTAGTGTGTGTTCACCATTTTGCAATGGCTTATTGAGGAAGTGATATCTCGGATCCTTATAGTGTATTGTTATTCCCAACGTCCATTATCTTGACACAAATATTTTCGCATCCCAACCGCCTTTTAATAGAAAGTACCAGGTAGCATGTTGCTGAATTGTGCATTAATAACCGTACCGATCGAAAACAGTTCATTGTATATTAACAATGGTATCTTAAAATACCCTACTTAATATTCCGTCAATAGACGCTTTTGTATGTTTCATTTGATTTCCGTGTTGGTAATGTTGTGATTCGGGTCCAGTCGGTTCCTTTCGTTACGTACATAAGGCTAGTTTTAAAAACTTTCCTATTCCTCGATGGCGAGGGAGAAGATATATACAAGGCATGTATTTTATTACGTACATCAATAAACTTGATTGTTATGTACCACGTAAACTCTTTTGCGACGATTCCTGCTACTCGAGCATCGAACTCAAAGACACACATAGACGACACTCATGACCAACTCGTCTTATTACGGGACAAGCCGAATATCTTGTATGTTACGGAAAAAGTCGAGTGATAACGTATAGGACCAAAGGCTATAGTGATCAGTGCAAGCTTCAACTTCGAATCCGTTACATTTAAATCGCGCATGCGGAAAATCTGAATCCACTGAAAAAACGAACTGATGGGTTTTAAAAAAATAACTATTCTGTATAGTGCATAATTAAATAACCAATTTAAGTGTAATTAAGCAATTGAGGGTGAGAGAGTGCTTGCGATCAAATTAAATGACACATCGGCAATATTTCAGACATTTTGTGACGAGCAATTTTATATTACTTTTCAACATATATTAATTTTTAATAAGTATAATACCGAAGATAGAAATGGAAAGGTAATTTTTATTGATGTGTCTGTAAACCGCCAATCCATCAGCACACAGTCCCAATGATGACGGTCAATACTGAGTAGAAATTGGAGTATAATGTGATATCGAGCAATGTGCTTACGAGGGTAACGACTTTGACTGGCTGCAGATTGTGAAGTGAAATGTCATAGTGGCGTGAACTAGTGAAACTTGTGAATCCTCTACCGAACCGAGACCGCCTCCGTGGTGTAGTGGTTAGAGCGTCCGCCCGGAGAGCGGAAGGTCGCGGGTTCGATCCCCGACCGCGTCATACCAAAAGACGTGAAAATATGGTACTTGTTGGTCCCCTGCCTGACGCTCGGCATTAATGGGTACAACAAGGACTGGTCGGCTCGGAGTCAGTATAATGTGTCTGAGTGGGGTATTCATGCTTCACTGCGGCATGGTATCTCAGTGGGCTAGCACTATAAAACCAGCTTAAGTCTGGGCTAGTACAAGCAGCCGCACATACACATACACACGCATGCACGTCGTCATATGAGCGAAATATTCTCAAGTACGACGTAAAACCCAATTTCACCTCACCTCTACCGAACCGGATTTCTCGGGATGACACGAGGTGTGCCGAATGAGTTGTTCGTAAGAAACTATGTTCAGCTTAACAGAAAATGTCTAATCTGAACCATTTGTCAAACTGCCGAACATTGTATGCGTCCTGTTGAAGAAGACAGTAGTTCTAGAAAATGCCTCGGAGCACTCTGCCAATTTGAAACATGTGTGAGTTTGTTTTTCTTAAAGAGCTTTGAAAAGTTGCATGCAGTTGCTTAAGAGGTCGGTCAAATGCTTGGCGACATAATGTTGCATAACACCGTACTCAAAGTACGTGAACATCATCTTGTGGGATAAAGAAGTCATGGATGGTCTGGTTCTGTAAAACGCAGAAATGGTCCGACAAAATGTGAATGCCCTTTTGCCCAATAAATCGATAGGAAAGGTTTTTGTCGGGTCTGACTCAATATGGGTACAATGTGTGAAGCCCATATCTGGTGTCCCCCGCCGTGATATTGCTAAAAGCGGCGTAAAATCATACTCACTCACTCACTGACTCAATATATTTAATAGATTGTTCGCTTCTTGGAAATGTCATTTCTCATAATAATCATGTATTGTCCGTCTTATTTACAATTTGACATAGGGGCGGTAGGGTAGCCTAGTGGTTAAAGCGTTCGCCCGTCACGCCGAAGACCCGGGTTCGATTACCCACTTGGGTACAATGTGTGAAGCCCATTTCTGGTGTCCCCTGCAGTGATATTGCTGGAATATTGCTAAAAGCGGCGTAAAACTGTACTCACTCACTCACTACAATTTGACAAAGACTAATATAAGGTCTGAGGTGCCGTGGGGTAGCCAAGTGGTTAAAGCTTTCGCTCGTCACGCCTAAGACGATTCCCCTACATGGGTACAATGTGTGAAGGCCACTTCTGGCTTCCTCGCCGTGAAATTGCTGGAATATTGCTAAAACAGGC